TGAACGGGGGCTCCCGAGTGGCGCAACCGTCTAAGCGTTGTCCCTCATCAGGACATCGCGAGTTCGATCCCTGGTGATGCTACAGCCGTCCGTAGCCGGGAGTCCAAGAGAGCCCAATTGGCTCGCTCTCTCTGGGGGGGTAGGATGGCCCCCCCTTCTCCCCCCATCACTCAGCGCGATGCTGACGTAACAGATCTGGCGGTTGGCGCTTTCCTCCTCGCGCGTTCGGCTGTCCAGTGACGTTGCGTGAGCGGCAGTTCGAAAAGAAGCGGTGGTGCTTCACAGGTCTCGGAGGAAGCCTGTGTTAGCCTTCACCCTCCTAGCGTTGATAGCATCGTGTGATTGGGGGAGACTAACTAGCGGGGTGGAATTGGAGACGATTAAATTGGGGAGAAAAATCAGGTAAAAATAAAAAAAAAAAAAAATGTCTCTGAACTTCTGACTTTTTCCGAGGCTGAAGTCAGATTCTCGTTTACCAGCTTCTTGTTCGAATTGTCCCGTTCCACCTTAAATGGTGCATGAGGCGCCAGAATGTACGTTACTGCTGCGCCATTTAAGGTGGAACGGGATAATTCGAACGAGAAGCTGACTTCACGACTCAGTGTTTGACAGTTTCTAGTTGCAAATTAAACGTATCAGGAAACCAGCTGGAGTGATTATAAATGCAAATAAGTCCATCTCCAAATTATTGATGTTCGTCTTAAATCTTAAATATGAAATTTGATTTGTTCTCTTTGAGCGCTGTCACTGAATTATGGCCAATCAAAATCTGCCAAGCTCCTCGTTATTTTCTCAACCCTCCAATCTCCGCTTATTGATTGTTGCTGTCCGCAGTTCAGTAATCAGCGCCTGCGATGTTCGTAACTAGCGTCAGGACTCCGAGCTCCTCAGAAGTTTCTCAGCGTTTTATGAGATTCAAAAAGCGATGAAACTCCACAGCGAGCAGTGAGAGGTTCTCCGCTGACCTCAGTCCAGCTGTAGCTCGGCCATAGACTGAACTGCCCGCTCTGTTTGTCTCTGTATGAGACGCTGCACAGCCCTGAGAACCAGAGTAACTTTGACTTGTTGAGCTGTTCAGGTCTGCAGCACACAGGCTATAAGCTAACACATAACATCGCTATGGCAAAAATGTAGCTAGCTGAGTTTATGAGCACAATCAATACATTAAGACTGTAAAATGAAAATACTATATTTCATTTTTTTGCTTGGGCTGCCAAATCAGCTGCTTTAGTCTGGCTCCAGTAGCTGCTCAGTTTAGGCTACAGGCTCCACAGTCGGCTATATTAGAGATAAGATGTGAAATTACAGTTATATTGTGTTACTCATAACAGACTACAAACATGAGGACGTTCACTGTTAACCAGCATATTGAAGGTATAGTATCATGCAGCAAACATTAAGAAATCAGCTATATTAGACTATATTTTGTCTCATTAACTATATGAGTAGCTGCCTTTCCCTCTAGCTGGGCTTTGGTACAGACAGCCTGTTATAACATCTGTTTAATGGGTGCTTTTACAATGATCAGTGAGGAGAGAGATGCAAAAGAGACAAGCAAAGAGAGAGAGAGAGAGAGAGAGAGAGAGAGCTAGGGAGGTAAATGAAACAAAATCAGTTGAAACTATCGCCTGATTTAATGTAGGTTTAATGTATTTTTAGCTAAAAAATAAACATAAATAAATAGTTAAATGATGAATTAAACCTAAACTGCATAATTGAAGTCAAATACGTTTATGGAACATTAATAGAAGTTTATGGAAGAACGGATGAAGAAGGAACAAATAAAAGAAAAAGGTGCATAACAGTGATAGATGGGTAAAAAAGGAGCAGTGATTGAATAAAATAAACAAAATGAGAAACTTATTGTTGCGTTAAAACTCATATTTGTAGTTATTTTAAACACAATCAGATGTGAGTAACATTTCTGCAACATGGACCTCACAAAAATTCTGATCCTAGTTGTGGCCCTGTTAGCAGTCATACGTTAACTCCAGCGTTTAAGACCATTTATTGTTAAACTGTGTAAACTTTATTTTCTGCAAAGGATGATTCTGTTATTTTACCTGAAAGTACCTAAGAGGCTGAAGTGTTGCTGAAGTTTAACAGGACTCTGAATGTCCTGTCTGTCTGAATCTTGCTGAAATGTTTAAATTGGAGCAGGTTTATTTCAGCAGTTGACAATGCCTTGCACAAAGTTGTTTGGTTTGGTTTCGGTTATTTTTGTTGATTTTTGTGAGGAAAAACCCGGAATTGTTGACTTTGCCTTTAGTTAATCTACCTTCTTGTTGGATATCACGCCTTTGGTTGTGTAAGTTTGATTGTTGGTCACTTAAAGTCATTTCTGGTGATCTTTTTGTATATTTGCAGCGTTTCTTTCTGGCTCATGATTAAATGCAGTGTCTTGTTCACAGTATCGGTTGGGCTTGTTTGGTGTGTCAGGTGGAGAGTCACAAACATTCTGACAGTCACGCTTTGAAAGTAGCTAAACTGTAGCAGCTATAAATTTTGGGAAAGTAGCTACAAAGAAACTAACTACTAATCTTTCATTAGCTGTCCCAACCCTGTTTATGTGAAATACATTGTGTGTGAGAGTCTGACTGCAGACGTACATGGTTAATGTAAAGTACAGTGCAGATCACAGATGTCAGTACGTTTAGTTACATCTGGAACCTTCATTACACACAACTGAACACAGATAATAACTAATACAGATAAATGCATTTAAAATATATTTAACTAATACATGTTGGGCCATTTTCATATGTTGCTAAAATATATGTGATAAATACGTTTAGATGTTTAAATAAATAAAGATGTTTTTTCCATATGGGTTCACACAAAAAACTTTAAAGTCATAAACTTTGGAGTTTCAGTGTCAGTAGCAGCAGTTTGAGTAACTGAGCTGCTCTCAGTAATATTACACTCACATTCACAGAGTCTTCGATATGTGTAATATATGCAGTGTTTGTTTTGTGGGACCCCGAATAATAATAATAATAATAATAATAATAATAATAATAATAATAATTTTATTTATTTAGCACTTCTCATGCCAGTGGCAGCTCAAAGTGCTTTACAGACAGGTGATAAAACATAGTTATAGAAAAGATCATTAGTACTTAATTAGAATCAGAAGAAAATGAAGAAGATTAAATTAGAAGATAAAAAAACGAGACATTCAGTTTTAGTTAAATGCTAAATTAAAGAGATACGTTTTTAGGTGCTTCTTAAAAGTGAGCACTGTGCTTGACTGTCTAATAAAAGCTGAACTGAGCTCCACAGTTTAGAAGCAGAATAACTGAAAGAGTCTCTCCATGTTTTCTGTATTTTACAGAGGGTGTCTGTAGATGGCCTCTATCTGCAGATCTTAGATTGCGTGCCGGATAAACAGACAGACACTCTGTGATGTAAGCAGGTGCTTTAAGGTTGTTTTGATCTTTAAAGACTAGTAGCAGAACCTTGAAATCTATCCTGAATGATCCAGGCAGCCAGTGCAGATCTTTTAAAACGGGACTGATCTGATCTGTCTGTGTTGTTTTTGTTAGGATGCTGCTGCATTCTGTCCGAGTTGTAAGGGATGTGTAGTTTTCTTAGGAAGTCCAGTAAGAAGATCATTACAGTAGTCAAGTCTGCTTGTAATAAATGCATGAACAAGTTTCTCTGCGTCGCTCTGAGATAGAAAAGGCAGAGCTTTAGTGATATTTCTGAAATGATAAAAAGCTACTTTAGTGACTGTGTTTACATGTGGGGTAAAACAGAGCTCAGAGTCTAAGATCACACCCAGGTTTCGTACTTCAGGTTTGGTAGATGAAGCTAAAGAACCAAGTTTCTAAAAAATCATTTTTCTGTGAGTTTCTGTACCAACAATCAGTATTTCAGTTTTTTCATGATTTAATTGTAGAAAATTTTGCGACATCCACTGAGAAATATCTGACACACAGCTGGTTAGTCTGTCTACAGAGTCTTGATCTTCAGAAGGAATAGTAATGTATAGCTGGGTGTCGTCAGCACAGCTATGAAAATTTATACTATGTTTCCTAATAACATCACATAGAGGTAGCATGTACAAAGAGAAAAGCAAAGGCCCTAAGACTGAACCTTGGGGGACTCCACAAGAAACGGCAAATCGTTTTGATGAATGATTTCCAAGTGAAACCATGAACTGCCTATTACTTAAATATGATTTAAACCATTCTAAAACTGTGCCTGAGAGGCCGACCCAGTAATGCTAACCAATCCGCTCTCAGTAGCAGTAATGCTAACCAATCAGCACTCAGTAGCAGTAATGCTAACCAGTCCGCTCTCAGTAGCAGTAACGCTAACCAATCCGCTCTCAGTAGCAGTAACGCTAACCAATCAGCTCTCAGTAGCAGTAACGCTAACCAATCAACACTCAGTAGCAGTAATGCAGACCAATCAGCACTCAGTAGCAGTAATGCTAACCAATCAGCTCTCAGTAGCAGTAATGCTAACCAATCAGCTCTCAGTAGCAGTAATGCAGACCAATCAGCTCTCAGTAGCAGTAATGCTAACCAATCCACTCTCAGTAGCAGTAACGCTAACCAATCAGCTCTCAGTATCAGTAACACTAACCAATCAGCGCTCAGTAGCAGTAACGCTAACCAATCATAACTCAGTAGCAGTAATGTTAACCAATCAGAAAAACAGAAATATAATTTGATTTTTAAACGTAATAAAATCTCCTTCTTTCCAAAATTAAAGGAAGTTTCTGTACAAATGACTAAAAACCAAGTATTGTTTTTTTTTTTTTTTTTTTATCTGTTTAACTCCATTCTTTAACTCGTTTGCTCGTGGGCGCCCTCTGGAGTTCTGCAGTCATGTTTCACATAACAATTGAAATGTTCTGCTGTATTGGTTTCTATTCTATTCCATTCTATTCTATTTTAATTTCATTTTAATGTTTCCAGCTGAATGACCGCACTCATGTTTTAGATGCATTCCGTTTTCTGGTTTATTTAGCTCCGCCCCTTTCTCCACAGGCCCCTCCCCGTCCTCAAGATCCCACGCAGACTCTAGTCGGAGCACAGCGGTCAGCAGATCTCCCCTCTCACCCCGAAACCACCGGTGAGTTCACTATGTTATTTTAATGCTGCACCCCTGGTGGTACCACAGCATAACAAGTTCACTGTGTTATAATAGTGCTGCGCCCCCTGGTGGAACTGTGGCATGTTATTTCATTCACACTCCCTCACACACACACACACACTCAGTTAAATAGGCAGCCATGCACACAGAACATCAAGGTCACACTGATTTATTCAATCTTCAGCTCAAATAAATACCCCCCCACACACACCTCCGCACCCTGTATGTGTGTGTGTGTGTGTGTGTGTGTGTGTGTGTGTGTTCAGACCAAACAGAAACCCACTCGAGTCGCCTACATTGTTTCTGCATCATTTCTTCTCTTTCTTGGCGAAGCGTCTCTTTGCTGTAATGACAGCTGCGGCGCTGTGAGGTGAGGATGACAGCAGTGAGTCTGAGAGAGTTCCTGTCCACTCTAGTCCACTCTAGTCCACTCTAACACTGACTCTGAGTATATATCTGAGCAGAACGCAACACTGACACTCCCACAGTCCAGGAGGAGAACTGTAGGGTGTCTGTATGTGATCTGAGCAGGTGTGATCCTTACCTGACCGGACTGCAGACAGCTGGACACTGAGCTGAGTGATAGAGCAGAAATGACGAGTAGAGTGATTTTACTTTAGTGAGTTTATTGTTTGTAGAATGTGTGTAATGAGTGTGTGTGTGTGTGTGTACACTGGAATCTCAGAGTGTGTGTGTGTGTGTGTGTACACTGGAATCTTAGAGTGTGTGTGTGTGGTGTGTGTGTGTACACTGGAATCTCAGAGTGTGTGTGTGTGTGTGTGTGTGTGTGTACACTGGAATCTCAGAGTGTGTGTGTGTGTGTGTGTGTGTGTGGATCTCAGAGTGTGTGTGTGTGTGTGTGTGTGTGTACACTGGAATCTCAGAGTGTGTGAGTGTGTGTGTGTGTGTGTGTACGAGAGAGACTCACACTGTGTTTTTTTTTATTCCCCGTTCTCTAACCCCTCCCCTCTCGGCTCTGGCTGTGGGTTGCTAAGCGATGGGGCGGTGGGCGGAGCCTCCTCTTGGTCGCCGGTAGCGACGGGAGATTGGCGGCTCAGAGGAGAGATGGAGGAGCTGAGCGTTCGGACCGGAGCCTGCAGCGTGCAGGACCAGCACACACACTCACTCAGCACAGACAACAACACACTCAGGTAAGAACAGCATGTGTATGTGTGTGTATGTGTGTGTGTGTATGTGTGTGTGTGTGTATATGTGTGTGTGTGTTTTTATAAAGAGTTATAATTAAGTAACTTATTAAAGGGGATTGTTCTAAATTCCCTGATAACTGAGTGTGTGAGGTGTAATCAGAGAGATTCAGAGTGGTTTGGTGTGAAACGGTTCAGATGTCTTTACAGTGGTGGTGATAGGAACCAGGGGTCGCCATGACTACAACACAAATATAGACATTTTATTAACTATCCAGAACCACCAGTGAACCTACACAAGTCTTCTGAGTTTATATGGAATGTATAAATAATAATAAGTTTATTACTGAAATAATAAGTTTTCTTTGGGGACTATTTGGCCTCACAGCGCCCTGCATGTATCCCTCCACCATGAATGGAGTTTAAGTTCTCTAAACTATCATAAAACAGTCTCTCAGTCATCAGGCAGTGAATTCATAACCATTTCATGTAGGAACTTTCTGTGAGGGAGCTTTTAGAGGTGGACGTCTGGTTCCTATCACCACCACTGTGAACAGTTCTGACTCAGTAAGTTTCTCTAGAACAGAGCGTTTCACACCAAACCACTGCTGAACCGCTCTGAATGGCTCTGTTTACATCTCAGATGTTTAAATATGTATATAAAGTTGGGGAAATCTGTGTTTAATGTGTTTAATCTCCTGTTCCTGAGTTGCTCTCTTGTTTCAGCTCGAGCGTTTGGTGTGTTTAATCGTGTTCTTGTCGTGTTCTGTTTGTGCAGGTTAGTGCAGAGCGGAGAGAGCGGGAACACTCTGGAAAACTACAGCTACAGTTTAAACATTGTGAAGAGCGTCCGTGAGTGAACACACACACACACACACATACACTCACACACACACACAAACACACTCAGACACACACACACAAAGCAGAATCTGTGTGAGTTTATTTGCTGCTAAATTAAAGTGTGATTGTGTGGATCGTGAGAGATGTTTCAGCAGAGTGTGTGTGTGTGTGTGTGAGTGTGTGTGTGTTTGTGTCTGAGTGTGTCTGAGTGTGTGGGTGGAGGGCAGGTGGACTGTGTGGGTTTTGGATCTTTTTCATGCGCTGCAGTAAAGCAGGACACAGTTTCTTCCTCGCCAACGTAACACAGTGCTCTATCTCTCTCTCTCTCCCTCTCTCTCTCTCTCTCTCTCTCTCCCTCTCTCTCTCTCTCGATCCTCATTCTTCTGGCATCTCTTAATCTTTACATCAGCTTCATTTTATTTTACTCGTATGGAACTTTAATTTGTAAAATAGATTTTCAGTGATTTGGTCTAGCCCCTTAAAAGGACTGGATCCAGGACAGAGACATGGAACAGGGACAAAGACAGCAACTGAGACAGACATTGAGACTGGGACAGAGACAGGGATAGAAACTGGGATAGAGACATGGACAGAGACTTGGACTAAGACTGGGATAGAGACAGGGACAGAGACTGGGATAGAGACAGGGACCCAGACTAAGACTGGGATAAAGACAGGGACATAGACTAGGACAGGGACTGGATAGAGACAGAGACCCGGACTAAGACTGGGATAGAGACAGGGACAGAGAAAGAGGACAGAGACAAGGACAAAGACTGGGATAGAGACAGGGACAGGGCCTGGGATAGAGACAGGGACAGAGATCCGGACTAAGACTGGGATAGAGACAAGGACAGAGGATAGAGACATGGACAGAGACTTGGACAGGGACTGAGATCAGAACAGGAACCAGGACAGAGACGGGTCCCTCTGTTATATAAACATGTTTGTTCCCTGGTTAAGGGGTCACACTGTGGTCAGCTCTGCCTTCATAGATAAAAATCTAATTGACCCGGTCACCATCAGCCCCCCCTCCCCAAACGCGGTGTTCGGCGTGTTTAACGGTTCGGTTCTGCGGCTGAGAGGTTGGTTACTGTGACTCTAATAGACTTTCATGTTAAAGCGGTTTCTGACGCTCTGAGTGGATTAGTTTCATTTCAGCTGATGCTGTTTGTGGGACTAAACTGGCTGATCTGATTTGTGATGAAGTATCTGTGTAATAATTTCCCCAAATTAACCCCGACGTTCACTTCAGCGCTGAGATTTACGATTTAATATTAAACAGAATGAAATAAAACAAGCCTCCAGATACGGCAGCGCCGGGCTGTGAAGCTCATTCAGCTCAGTAAACATCACCTGGAGTCACATTCAGTCTCTGATTAGCCCCAGTGTTCTAGATAACAGCAGCCCTGTTTTGAACTCGAGGGTAGTTGCAGTTGCAGCAGAATTTATTATTTATTATTATTATATATTATGTGTTGCACTGCTGTGAGGAGGATTCAGACAGGACTGGACTAAAACCGGCACAGACCAGTGTGAATTCCAGGCTGGTCTAAACTGGTCTGGTGCTGGTTTAGCTGCTCACCCAGCATCCTAAACACTTCTGGTTTTGGTGCTGACCAGCACAACTGTCCAAAGAAAAACAGACATCTCGAAGTGGCTTTACAGGACAAGGCAAAAACATTATTCATTAATATTGATTACTGATGTGATAATATTGATCATTATTGTGATAAATGGTCACAATACAAAAATACAACACAATATTCTTTTCAGATCATATGGTGTTTATCGTCAGCGCTTGTAGACACTGACCAGCTGCATGTTTCATTATAAAGAGAGTAAAATTAGTCCGTTTAACTGGACTTAGTGACAAATACTAAATATAAATCACTGTGTTCAGTTTTTGGGAGTCTTTATTAAAATGTAGATCTACTGGGTCTTTTTCTCTGATCAGATGTCTGATATCGTGTAACGTGAAAATTTCTTGAAGTAACATTTACACACAACACCCAGGGCAGAGCAGCTGCTGAGCTCACAACCATGTGGAGAAATCAGCAAATATGAAAATACGTTTTTTTGTTTATTTGGACGTGACAACATGCTGGTTCTGTCGGTTCTGCAGTCGTCCATCAGAAATCTCAGATCTCGTCTGTAGTCACTCAAATTACAGCTATAAAACTAACCCAGCTCCAGCAAAGCTTCAGGCTTAGACTGTTAGCCACACCAGCAAAATGAAGACTAACACTAATCCTGTCTCCTAATCAGAGTCTCTGCACTACACTCTTAAAAAGATGGTTCTTCAAGGGTTCTTTAGTAAAGAAATAGGTTTTCTGTAGAACCATGAACACTCAAAGAACCATTTGCATGACTAAAGGGTTCTTTACATCATGAAAGCATATTTCAGATTGCAGATCACAGCATGCTCTGCTATATAGAACCACTTTCTTTACTAAGGCACCCTCGAAGAAGCTGTGTGGGCAAAGGTGGGCTGCCTTCTGGAGCCCCCTGAGCACCGATAAGACGTACTGCACAGGCTGATGTTACATAACCTGCCACATAATACACACATATATATTGGGAAATGGCTGCTTTGTTTGTGACTGTAGTGATATTTTGGGTCATTTCTGTCATTTCGGTCATTCCAGTGCGGCGCTGCTCGGTTATACTGGACTACTGTTTGCTGTTACGCGATGACACGACGGCGTGACAGATCAGTGTGAATAAGGCAGTTAAGAGATGGTCTAAATATGAAGAACCCAGCTGCAGCAGAGAAACACAGAGAGAGGCTAAGCGTGTTCGTTCAGTCAGAACCGAGCGCTGAACATCATACAGAGCGCAGTGTTAATGTCAGGCGCTGAAGTGCTGGTCAGGAATACTGTGTCCAGTGGCTCCTCACAGCTGTG